GGGCTCTTGGTGGTCAGTGCAGGCTTTGGGTGGTCAGTGCGGACTTTGGGTGGTCAGTGTGGGCTATAGGTGGTCAGTGCGGGCCGTGGGAATTTCAGTGTAGGCTCTGAGTGATCAGTATGGCTTTTGGATAGTCAGTGCGGGTTCTGGGTAGTCAGTGCGGACTTTGGGTGGTAAGTGCAGGCTCCGGGTGGTAAAGTCGGGTTTTTTGGGGGGGCTACCACAGTCATATATTGTAGGCATACACTGTAGTGTCAGTTTGTGAGGAAATACATCTACCAACCAGTATGTGGATGGAAACCAGAGTGACTGGCCAAAGCACAAAGCGAACAAACAAACTATGCTATGCTTTGATGAGAATAGTCCCCAGAATAGGGGCATTTTCCAATGGGGACACTTGTCCTCAGGACAACTCTCTAGGAGGGGAATCCCTCTCACTTTGGAAGATTTCCACTAACTTCCTCTGGCATCTATGGAACAGGAAGTGAAGTGAAATCTCCCCCATGGTACATAAACAAAAAATAATAATCCACACACCCAACATCTAATTTTCAATGGCGACTTACTGGTGACAAGAGTCAGATCTTCTCCTGGCTCCTGAAGGGCTGCCAACAAAATATGATGGGTATCATCCCTGTGTTCTCTTTTTTAAATAAACTTCTTCACTACTTACCTGTTCATTGACCTTACATGCAACCGGTGATCTGATTGGGCAGTATTATCCATGGGAGGACAGCAGAATAGGCAGGAGAGCAAAGGCTGCAAGACTACAAGGAAACAAAAACATCAGAATACAGCACATTATATCCACTAGGTATTTGCAGTTGTAAACAATTAGAAACCTTCATTTCAGTTACTGTTTTCAGTTCATTCTCTAAAAAACACCAAGTTGGACATTTATAAAGCAGCAGTATGGCCCTGCCATGGCTGCTGCTTTAAACAGCCTGATATTATGTACGTTTGTAACTTTTTTTTTTTTTTTTACTATTGCTAGAGCTTTGGGATTCTCCCTTCAAGGAAAAATAAAAGGAAAACTTTCTCTCCCAACAATAACATTCTGAGCCACATCCATCTGGACAGTTACAAAACTATGATGAATTTAGCACATGCAATTAATAGTTAAAAACAGTGTAAAGCAATACTATTCATTAAGATTGTCCATAAAAGAAGACCAATATATTCACAAATGTATGTGCTTAAAACAGTCCAACTCTGTATGTGGTAACATACCAGTCTGTGCATTTAGACCTTCTTTATCAGAAGTGGTTGCTGGCCACTTGAGTGTAGTATCATCAGGGGGCAATGTTATTCACTGTGGATACAATGAGGATTTATCTACACTGTTTACTAGATTTGATGTGTTGGTTGTAGCATGGAATTGTTTTTTTAGTAAAGACACAGGTGTGGTGGAAGGACACAATTTAACACATAGGGGGTTATTCACAAAGCTGTTGAAGGCAGGCAAGTGAACAGCCGAGCCAAAGTGAAGTGAGCCGAACGCCGTTCGGCTATTCACTTCTGGCTTGTACGGCTGATTTCAGCCGTACATCGACTAAAATCAGCCGTACACTGTCTGCCTTCAGCTGCCTGTAGTAATATCCTAAAGATATTACTACACCTGTTTTATAAGAGAGTAGATTTATTAATTTTTTTTGGGCACAGTGTACATTTTTATTGATTCGATTTAAAATTTTACATATTGGATGTTAATATTATGCAGCATTTTATCCAGTTAACAGATGGAGATCTAGTCTCCTTTTGACCTATTCAGTTGTTTCACTTATCAGCTGTGGTATTATTCTCTCAAAGGGTGTTGCAAAGATAGTTTTGTGCGCTGTGCTTAGTCTCTTTAGCTAATCCATAGCGCTTTAGAACAGCCTTTCTCAGCCAGGGAGCCGTTGCATCCTGGTGTGCCTTCCAGCTTCCTCAGGGGTGCTTCAAAATGTTGTGGTAGTGGGACTGTGGTTTGAAGGGGGGAATGAAGACTTATGTGAAGGGGGTTCCTGATGTAAAAGGGGAACTCTGATGTGAAAGAGGTTGGACTCTGATATAAAATGGGGGCTCCTATGTGAAGGGGGCTACTGATGTGAAGGGTGACGGGCACATCGATGTAAAGTGGGAAACCCACTTTTTTGTGTGTTTTTGCGTGAAGTCCCCCTTAAAATCTTTGACATTTTAGACTAGAGTGCCTAGAGGTTTTGCATATTTTTAAAGGGTGCCATGACTACAAATAGGTTGAGAAACGCTGCTTTAGGAATCCCATGTCATGTGCTACAGTGTATCTAAGTTCCAGAAGAAACATATAACATATTGCAGCTTTCCAGTTCTTAGAGATGGTGACTATAGTAGCCTTTTTTTCATGCAGGGAGCAAATAAGAAGGTTTACATACACTTTAATTTAAACAAAATTGTATATCCTTAATCCTTGAAAAAAAGCACAGTTAGTGTTTCAATATCCCAGCACGTTTTCATTATCCATTGAGAAGTCAGAGTTTTGTATTGTCGCTCAGGATACTATCTCTAGTAGTGAGTTCTCCTTCCTCTTTCACTTTCCTCCTCTTCTCATCTTTTGGCCAATTACATTGTAAAAAAATTCCAGTGCAACCCCATGGGCAGTCACCTGACCAGATGTGCCTTTCTGTTTCCACCAGCCCTCTGCAGCCCTTCTCCCATGGATCTTCGCTCTGCCCCTATCAGTCCCCAGAGATCCTGTACTCCCAACAGTTTGTAGGAGGAGAGGGTGCAAGAGGCTGAGTGGAACACATCAGCCCCATGTTACTCAGCTTAGAAGCAGTCAGATTTAGGGACATCCCCCTAACCGCTGTGCTCCCTTGCTTCACACAAAACCCCTATTCCTTTTTCCCTAATGCTATTGCAGCCAGCCTAAAAGATTCATAGGATAGCTCCCTCCCTGCACACGGGACCCCCCACCCTCCTTTCCTTGCTTACAGTGCTACTGCTGGAGGGGATGACAGTCTGTCATAAGCTTTTCTACTACTGCAGCAGTTTCCTCCTCAGCCTGCTGTCTGAGCCCTGACAGATTACCCCGCATAATCAGGGCTAAGATTACACAGCATAGTGTAAGGGGTTAAAAAGTATTGAAGCCTCGGAATAAAAAATAATTGCAATATACATGTGTTTAATCTGTGTTCTTTTCAAGGTCCTTGGCTGGGACAAAAGAAAAGATTGCACTGCTGAAACTGCGTAGGTAGGACGGCCTAAGATGCTCTAACAAATCAACGCTTTGAAGCTTGGCACCCAGCCAGAAGTGAATTATCATAAACAACTATAAAATATTTATACACCTTAGGATTAGAGTGAGACTTATTCAGACAGGAGGGGGGACAGTTCCAACTCCATGCATTGTCTGTATAGATTCTCCCATGCGCATGTAAATAAAGCAGAGTGAAGACTTTTTCTACAAACAATCTCTGGAGTCCGTGGAGGTTATTTTTAAATACAATAGAGCAATCTATAATTCCTCCTACAACTTGGTGCCGAAACCCGGGAAACTCCAGCAGGAGAGGAAAAAGACGTCGGGACTTGGGCAAGGAATCCACATCTCAACGGACATCCACCAAAGACCCCCGAAACTAAGTTTTTCGTAAAAAGGGGCTGCTCGAGGAACCGATCTCTTAACCCTCCGTTGGCAGTTTTACAAGAAGGGGACTCAAGGGATTGTGAAAAAGTCAGAACTTCTGCAATAGGGTAAGAAAACAGTACTTTAAAGTATAAGAACAATTAAGTCAAAATAAGTTTGTTGTCTTTCTAAAATTTGGAATCTGTGTTTCTAAATAACGATTACAGTCAGTTACGTAGTACAAAAAGGTTGTTATTTAAACATTTTCTGTTGAGAGGGAAAAGTGGTCATTATCCCTCATCCTCCTTATCTGTGGCCATCTTGGATGGGCAGAACAAGTGACTAAAACCGCGTTTTGGGAAGACGTACTCGGAACACTCTGAGTAGCAGTCGAGCATAGCGGGTCTTTTTTTTTCTTTTTTCATATACTAAAGAGAAATATAAGGGTGTGGTTCAGAATCCAGGTGACAAATAAAGGAAACTTGTCTGACTTTTAGTCCAAGACAGCCTTGTAGTTTGTTGCAAAAACCTGAGTGGACGTATAAACACCCTTAGATTTCTAAAATACACATAAATGGAACTGACTGTATGACTTAAAAGAAACAAGAAAAAGTATTTTTGGAGTAAGGTTAGACTTTAAAGAAACAGGAAAAAGTCTTTCTGGAGTAAGGTTAGACTTAAAAGAAACAGGAAAAAGTATTTTTGGAGTAAGGTTAGACTTAAAGAAACAGGAAAAAAGAAATAGAACCAGAGTACAAGTTTTAGAAATATAACAAAAATGGTTAACCTAAATTGTAAGAAGAAGACATGTCAATTAACAGAAGATGAATTAATTATGCATAGCAAAGATCCAAAATACATCAAATTTAGAACTCAGTGGAAAACAAAGTACAATTTTGATGGGAAACTATCAAAGAAGGATGTAGAAAGTTGATGAGAGGGATAAAAGAAGAATGTGAGGCTGATAAAAGAAAATGGAGAAGGAAGGTATATATGTAGCACAGAAGTTGATGGAAGAAGCAAGTAAGAGAGAGCAGGTTCTAGAAACAATGTTTTTAAAAAGACAGAAAGAATTAGATGATAACACTAGTACAAGGAAAAAGGCAGTAGTAGCAATCCATGAGGAGGAAAGAGCAGTGGACTCCACATATGAACAACAACTGAAAGCTGCCATTCCTAGAGGACTGAGAAAGCCAATAGGAGACTTTGTAACAAAACAGGTAACCTGTAGAACATGCAGATTAACAGACTTTGTAGAACACGCACGACATGCAGAAAGGGTGACACGAGACAAAGGGGTTAGAAGGAAGAAAGTTCCACTTATTGGGTGGATGAGGAACAAGATACAGACTGTCATTACAATAAGAGACCCCAGAGGAGGGATAGACCCCGAAGGGGCCCAGTTACTGATTACGAGGGACGTAGAAGTAGAGGGGAATGCTACATGTGTGGCAAGAGAGGACATTTGGCCAGAGACTGTCCAAACAAGAAAGCATGACTATCCCAAGAGTCTGGACAGGATGTTGAAACAGAACCCAAAGACTTTTTTTAAACGAATGTTAGATGACTTGCTAAAACAACATGGTGAGGAGGAAGAGGAGAAGGAGGAAGTTCAGGTGTTAAATTGGCAACATGTAACTTCTGTGATGTTTTCAGACGAGAGAAAACCAATGATCTCGCTGAAAGTGGGAAACAAAATTATAGAATTTTTATGTGACACCGGGTCTTGCAAATCTGTAATGCAGATTACTGGGGAGAGATGGATTGGGTACCCTGGGACTTGGATTAATTCCCAAACAAAATTCTGTCCAAATAGTCAGATTGGGAGAGTTAGAAAAAGATGATAAGAATCGGTATTGGTATGGATTAACACTCCAGTGACCAGCCATAGCACGTATCCTGGGTCCAGGATTTATAGAAGCACCTGAAGCACCTGAACTCAAGAACGAACTACAGCCTGGCCAGTGGATCTGGATCAAGGTAATCAAAAGAAAACATTGGAATAGTCCTCGCTGGGAAGGGCCATACCAGGTACTACTCACAACACCAACTGCAGTAAAGGTTGCAGAAAGAAAGACGTGGGTTCATCTAACCCACTGTAAGATAGCGAAAGGGATAGACACTAAAAATTCACCTGCTGTGAATGAGGGAACATCCCTAGATCACTAAGGATTCCACAGTCTGATCTAAGGGACCACCCTCTGTCTTCAGTGGACAAAGGTAGCAGCTGTGGAGGTGGAATTGTATTAAAGGGATTGACCAGTAGGAAGGGAAAGGATGTTTATTTTAACACCAGGGTTTTTCAAGAGGCGGATGGTGATTGTGTTTTTAGTACTGATTGGTCTGGTCTTTCTTGGAAAAGCAATATCAGATCTGATAGCCGAAAAGAATGTCAAAGCTGAAAGTATCACGAAAGTCCCAGTGGATAAGAGAAGAATAGGGGCACACAGGAGAGATCCTACAGGTGAAACACAATGGCAGGCTCGACCTATAACATTAAAAGGAAACACAGGGAATAACATAACCTTGAATTTTCCCTTGAAAGTACATGAGGTGTTCAAACCTGGAACACCATCAGGAACATGGAGTAGTTACAACTAATATTTGTGTGGGAAGGATACGGCTTGTGGCTATTGGGAAAATGCATGGAAAACTACGGACCCAGGGGGATATGAAACTAGATCTACCAGATTAAAACCAGAAGACACAGATCTTTATAACCAAATTAAGTTATCTAAGACAGGAAATTAACTAACATTGTCAGTTTTGAACCCCAAGGCATCGGATAGTGGTATATATAGTATAGGAATAACTGTGGCAGGTACTGACCCCCTCGCCATGCTAAAACTGGAAGTAACAGAAAGATTGGAACAAGGTAAGAATATCTCTGAAAATGGGCTCACGGTGCAAGGGGAAGCATGGACAGAGGAGGAACTATGGGCTGTGGAAACTGGGTATTCTGACAAAAACGAGTGTGGATACTATCTCTAGTAGTGAGTTCTCCTTCCTCTTTCACTTTCCTCCTCTTCTCATCTTTTGGCCAATTACATTGTAAAAAAATTCCAGTGCAACCCCATGGGCAGTCACCTGACCAGATGTGCCTTTCTGTTTCCACCAGCCCTCTGCAGCCCTTCTCCCATGGATCTTCGCTCTGCCCCTATCAGTCCCCAGAGATCCTGTACTCCCAACAGTTTGTAGGAGGAGAGGGTGCAAGAGGCTGAGTGGAACACATCAGCCCCATGTTATTCAGCTTAGAAGCAGTCAGATTTAGGGACATCCCCCTAACCGCTGTGCTCCCTTGCTTCACACAAAACCCCTATTCCTTTTTCCCTAATGCTATTGCAGCCAGCCTAAAAGATTCATAGGATAGCTCCCTCCCTGCACACGGGACCCCCCACCCTCCTTTCCTTGCTTACAGTGCTACTGCTGGAGGGGATGACAGTCTGTCATAAGCTTTTCTACTACTGCAGCAGTTTCCTCCTCAGCCTGCTGTCTGAGCCCTGACAGATTACCCCGCATAATCAGGGCTAAGATTACACAGCATAGTGTAAGGGGTTAAAAAGTATTGAAGCCTCGGAATAAAAAATAATTGCAATATACATGTGTTTAATCTGTGTTCTTTTCAAGGTCCTTGGCTGGGACAAAAGAAAAGATTGCACTGCTGAAACTGCGTAGGTAGGACGGCCTAAGATGCTCTAACAAATCAACGCTTTGAAGCTTGGCACCCAGCCAGAAGTGAATTATCATAAACAACTATAAAATATTTATACACCTTAGGATTAGAGTGAGACTTATTCAGACAGGAGGGGGGACAGTTCCAACTCCATGCATTGTCTGTATAGATTCTCCCATGCGCATGTAAATAAAGCAGAGTGAAGACTTTTTCTACAAACAATCTCTGGAGTCCGTGGAGGTTATTTTTAAATACAATAGAGCAATCTATAATTCCTCCTACAACTTGGTGCCGAAACCCGGGAAACTCCAGCAGGAGAGGAAAAAGAGGTCGGGACTTGGGCAAGGAATCCACATCTCAACGGACATCCACCAAAGACCCCCGAAACTAAGTTTTTCGTAAAAAGGGGCTGCTCGAGGAACCGATCTCTTAACCCTCCGTTGGCAGTTTTACAAGAAGGGGACTCAAGGGATTGTGAAAAAGTCAGAACTTCTGCAATAGGGTAAGAAAACAGTACTTTAAAGTATAAGAACAATTAAGTCAAAATAAGTTTGTTGTCTTTCTAAAATTTGGAATCTGTGTTTCTAAATAACGATTACAGTCAGTTACGTAGTACAAAAAGGTTGTTATTTAAACATTTTCTGTTGAGAGGGAAAAGTGGTCATTATCCCTCATCCTCCTTATCTGTGGCCATCTTGGATGGGCAGAACAAGTGACTAAAACCGCGTTTTGGGAAGACGTACTCGGAACACTCTGAGTAGCAGTCGAGCATAGCAGGTCTTTTTTTTTCTTTTTTCATATACTAAAGAGAAATATAAGGGTGTGGTTCAGAATCCAGGTGACAAATAAAGGAAACTTGTCTGACTTTTAGTCCAAGACAGCCTTGTAGTTTGTTGCAAAAACCTGAGTGGACGTATAAACACCCTTAGATTTCTAAAATACACATAAATGGAACTGACTGTATGACTTAAAAGAAACAAGAAAAAGTATTTTTGGAGTAAGGTTAGACTTTAAAGAAACAGGAAAAAGTCTTTCTGGAGTAAGGTTAGACTTAAAAGAAACAGGAAAAAGTATTTTTGGAGTAAGGTTAGACTTAAAGAAACAGGAAAAAAGAAATAGAACCAGAGTACAAGTTTTAGAAATATAACAAAAATGGTTAACCTAAATTGTAAGAAGAAGACATGTCAATTAACAGAAGATGAATTAATTATGCATAGCAAAGATCCAAAATACATCAAATTTAGAACTCAGTGGAAAACAAAGTACAATTTTGATGGGAAACTATCAAAGAAGGATGTAGAAAGTTGATGAGAGGGATAAAAGAAGAATGTGAGGCTGATAAAAGAAAATGGAGAAGGAAGGTATATATGTAGCACAGAAGTTGATGGAAGAAGCAAGTAAGAGAGAGCAGGTTCTAGAAACAGTGTTTTTAAAAAGACAGAAAGAATTAGATGATAACACTAGTACAAGGAAAAAGGCAGTAGTAGCGATCCATGAGGAGGAAAGAGCAGTGGACTCCACATATGAACAACAACTGAAAGCTGCCATTCCTAGAGGACTGAGAAAGCCAATAGGAGACTTTGTAACAAAACAAGTAACCTGTAGAACATGCAGATTAACAGACTTTGTAGAACACGCACGACATGCAGAAAGGGTGACACGAGACAAAGGGGTTAGAAGGAAGAAAGTTCCACTTATTGGGTGGATGAGGAACAAGATACAGACTGTCATTACAATAAGAGACCCCAGAGGAGGGATAGACCCCGAAGGGGCCCAGTTACTGATTACGAGGGACGTAGAAGTAGAGGGGAATGCTACATGTGTGGCAAGAGAGGACATTTGGCCAGAGACTGTCCAAACAAGAAAGCATGACTATCCCAAGAGTCTGGACAGGATGTTGAAACAGAACCCAAAGACTTTTTTTAAACGAATGTTAGATGACTTGCTAAAACAACATGGTGAGGAGGAAGAGGAGAAGGAGGAAGTTCAGGTGTTAAATTGGCAACATGTAACTTCTGTGATGTTTTCAGACGAGAGAAAACCAATGATCTCGCTGAAAGTGGGAAACAAAATTATAGAATTTTTATGTGACACCGGGTCTTGCAAATCTGTAATGCAGATTACTGGGGAGAGATGGATTGGGTACCCTGGGACTTGGATTAATTCCCAAACAAAATTCTGTCCAAATAGTCAGATTGGGAGAGTTAGAAAAAGATGATAAGAATCGGTATTGGTATGGATTAACACTCCAGTGACCAGCCATAGCACGTATCCTGGGTCCAGGATTTATAGAAGCACCTGAAGCACCTGAACTCAAGAACGAACTACAGCCTGGCCAGTGGATCTGGATCAAGGTAATCAAAAGAAAACATTGGAATAGTCCTCGCTGGGAAGGGCCATACCAGGTACTACTCACAACACCAACTGCAGTAAAGGTTGCAGAAAGAAAGACGTGGGTTCATCTAACCCACTGTAAGATAGCGAAAGGGATAGACACTACAAATTCACCTGCTGTGAATGAGGGAACATCCCTAGATCACTAAGGATTCCACAGTCTGATCTAAGGGACCACCCTCTGTCTTCAGTGGACAAAGGTAGCAGCTGTGGAGGTGGAATTGTATTAAAGGGATTGACCAGTAGGAAGGGAAAGGATGTTTATTTTAACACCAGGGTTTTTCAAGAGGCGGATGGTGATTGTGTTTTTAGTACTGATTGGTCTGGTCTTTCTTGGAAAAGCAATATCAGATCTGATAGCCGAAAAGAATGTCAAAGCTGAAAGTATCACGAAAGTCCCAGTGGATAAGAGAAGAATAGGGGCACACAGGAGAGATCCTACAGGTGAAACACAATGGCAGGCTCGACCTATAACATTAAAAGGAAACACAGGCAATAACATAACCTTGAATTTTCCCTTGAAAGTACATGAGGTGTTCAAACCTGGAACACCATCAGGAACATGGAGTAGTTACAACTAATATTTGTGTGGGAAGGATACGGCTTGTGGCTATTGGGAAAATGCATGGAAAACTACGGACCCAGGGGGATATGAAACTAGATCTACCAGATTAAAACCAGAAGACACAGATCTTTATAACCGAATTAAATTATCTAAGACAGGAAATGAACTAACATTGTCAGTTTTGAACCCCAAGGCATCGGATAGTGGTATATATAGTATAGGAATAACTGTGGCAGGTACTGACCCCCTCGCCATGCTAAAACTGGAAGTAACAGAAAGATTGGAACAAGGTAAGAATATCTCTGAAAATGGGCTCACGGTGCAAGGGGAAGCATGGACAGAGGAGGAACTATGGGCTGTGGAAACTGGGCATTCTGACAAAAACGAGTGGTTGCAATGGGTAAATTACACTACTGGACAAGCTAACAAATCAGATTGTATAGTGTGTGCAGGTGCAAGACCTGCATTGGCCACGGTGCCCATACCGCAAGAGGTTAGTCTAAC